CCTGCAATGAAAGGCAGCCCTGCTGCCTCGTCGCGGCCCGGGCGGCTTGCTCGGCGAGCGCACAGGAGGGGATCTGGGGATCGCTGGCGGCGGAAAGGGCGAGAGCCTTTCTCCAGCCCCTTGTGTTTTCTCCGGATAGACGGGTTTAAACGCTTGGCTGTAATCGGATGATGGTAGGCCCGCGAAGGCTGTGGAGGAGTTGCCGGAGGCAAATGGTTAGGTAGCAGCATGGTCTGATTGGAATGCTGCGCGAATGTTTATGCAATTTCAGCAGATGGATGACTGCTGGATAGCTCCAAAAATCTTCTCGAAGTTTAGCCAAACGACTTGGCTTTCTCTTTTCTGACCCCATATGATTGTGGCCGAATCTCTTTACACTTTTCCCCCTGGTGTTCTCACTCTTTTCATTATGTTTTTTTAAAAAAAGATTTAATAAATACAAAACATACCACAAAAGGCAGGTGGTATTGTCAATAACTGAAACAGTAAAATCTTAATCTTTACCCCCATACAAGTTTGGTAGGCTTCTAATTTTTGCAGGGATGTCTTTTCAAAAGTCAAGAGTATGTATCTTGCTGTTCATAATAATGATTGGATCATGCCTATCTAAAAGTCCTGAACTCAGAAAAGGAAGCTGGTATCTATTCATCTGAAGTACGTATTTTCATATTAATTTTTCTTACAAACGTTTGCATATTCGGATTTCTCTATTGAACTGGTGCCAATGATGTTCTGTGGATGGAAACACATCTTCAAGAACTTGGAGGAGATAATTCCACTGTCCCACACTTTCAAAATCTGATAGGGAGGACTATGAAATCTTTTGGATGCAACTTTTATTGGGCAAGGGAGCAAAATGGAAAAAGTGGCATATGCAAAATAGCATGACAACAGATTTAACTTAAAATACTTTAGAATGCTTAGGTTTTAATTTCAGGCAATTGAAATGTGAAAGTGAAAGGTTTAAGGAAATAGTCGGAATTGCTGACAGAGTACTAAAAATGAGTTCATACTTGTGGATTTACAGGTATTAAGATGTAAGTATTAAGGAAGTGCCAGCATTATAAGTGACTTGTAAATATGAGATATCTACCAGGATAGTTGCTATTATTCTTAGTTGCAGCCTGATTCTCCATCTGATCTAAAGTTGATTTTTTAAAAATTGTTAACAGGAAAATGTTTGTTGGTGGCCTCAGCTGGGATACAAGCAAAAAAGACTTGAAAGACTACTTCACAAAATTTGGTGAAGTGACTGACTGCACAATAAAGATGGATCCTAATACAGGCAGATCAAGAGGTTTTGGATTCATTCTCTTCAAAGAAGCATCAAGCGTTGACAAAGTGAGTTTGAAGGATTACATTCTGGAGGTTCTTACACCTTTATACATTTATTGATTCTACATTTACATTATAAGTTTCCTAATACAAGTTTACCTTGCCTTTATTCATTTTTAGGTTTTGGAGCAGAAAGAACACAAGTTAGATGGGCGTGTAATTGATCCTAAAAAAGCAATGGCAATGAAAAAGGATCCTGTGAAGAAGATATTTGTTGGTGGACTTAATCCAGAAGCAACAGAAGACAAGATCAGGGAATACTTCGGAGAGTTTGGAGAGGTGTGTGTGATCAGGGCATAGTTTAGATATGGTGGGACTAGATTTTGATTTGAAATGTAAGGCAAAAAAAAGTAAAATATAATTAAATTAAAAATTTGGGGTTTGTAATGACTCGTGCCAGATGCTGTATTAAACATTGCGCACTTTGAGCATGCATATATTTGTTCAGTTGTCTCCTATGTTTCTTCATGTGATCTGGAATTGGAAAGACTGGCAATTGAGCATGCATTTGACATTAGATAGACCTATTCACTATGGTGAATACAGTACAGCATCTGGATTTCTATGAATTAGCATTGTCTGTACTCAATTGTTGCACTCACCAGCCATTGTGCTTTTCCACCAGGTAATTTAAAAGTTACCATATCGCACTGTAGTTGCATACAGCAGTAGCTATTTGTGTATGAAATGTAGCTTTCTTTCAAGAAATTAACAAATGTAACAGAAATTTCATTATCATAAAATGAAGTTGAACATTGAAGTCTCAGGGTTTATGGTCTGAAATTAGGTGATGTATTGCAGTATATGATTAGTGAGCCTCTGAATGTCAATTATGTTTCATTAGATTGAGGCGATTGAACTTCCAATGGATCCAAAGACTAATAAAAGAAGAGGGTTTGTGTTCATCACATTTAAGGAAGAAGAACCAGTCAAGAAGATCTTGGAGAAGAAATTCCATAATGTCAGTGGTAGCAAGGTAGGGATTCATGATTTGATGAACTGGCTAATCTCAACGTTTCTTTCTTTTTTTGGTAGTAAAGGAGGACATCCTCCCATCTCTGTTCTCCTTCCACTACATAAAATAAATGTTTCACGGTGAGTACTAGCATTTCTGTTTAGGAGTTGATCAGGTTTTTTTATCTTTACATGAAGCTACAACTAGGAAAAACGTATTCCTCAACATTTTTCTGAACACGCTCAAAGGTGAAACTTTTCCTTTACAATATTGTATAAGGCCTTCACAACTTCAGCATTGTTTGGAACAGTTAGTTGCATTACTTGTTGTATCTGTCTACAACTTGGTTTTGTTGAAATTAAGGCAGTTTAAATAGCTGATTTAAGTAGAAAGGATGTTGTGATTTAGTCTGTATTGTGTACATCCTGCTTTTCCCCCTTTTTCTTTGGCCACATAGCAATCTCGATACCTCCAACATTTCTTTCAGTAATCTGGGATGGTGCCTGCAGACATCATATGGTAGCCTGAAGAGGAAAGAGAACACCTGTTTATGCCTGTAATAGACTGAATCAAGCTCAAAGCTTGTAACTAAATAGTACCACTATGTTATGTTTTAGTTGCATAGCCTACATCATAGGTGCAGCTACAAAACAGATAATATGCAGATCTGTTGGCATTTTATACACATTCACAGATTTTAACTATTCACTCACTAATTAAGTCTGCATTCTCTGAACATTTTGTATTTTGAGCAAGTATTGTGTATGCTAACACAGTGTTTGCATAAGATGGTAGTTAGACCAAATAATACTTCTGTGTAATATATAAAGTAACCGCTAATGCTGTTTTCAGGGGCTAATATTTTCCATAACTTAAGAAATGCACATATTGCAGGATCTGAGTATTTGGCAGACATAATATAGTATGTGGTCATCCATATAGGCTCCAAAAATGATTGTTCAGGGAGACATATAACATTGAAATGTGGATCATTGTATGAGTGCCTCCCTCATTCTCTGTACATTCATCATTAATAAGTTACATGTCCTTTATGGAAAGAGTAGTTGGGTAGTGCTTCCTAATTGGAAAGTGTTGAGCCCTCAAAACTAGAAAAGTAAATGGCAGTTTGATTTTGAATTTTGTGTAAACCAGTGTTTTCCAGTTTGAAAGTAATAGCCAACTATATTTCTATGTACAGTGGTGCCGCCTCGCAAGACAAATGCCTCACAGGGCAAAAAACTCGCAAGACAAATGGTTTTGGCAATGGGGTTGATGACTGGCAAGACAAATGTTCCTATGGCCGTACTTCGCAAGAAGCATGTTTTCCTTTTGTTGTTCCTGCCTTATGTTTGCTGATTTTTAAATGTTTTTCTATGATATTTAAAAAGTTAAAGTTTTTTGATTGAAATTTTAAAAATCATCTGCACGATATATATGGCTTTAAACAGCACTTAATAAACCCTTTGTAAACCAAATTTGACTTTTTTTGCCCATAGGAACACATTAATTAGATTTCAATGCTTTCCTATGGGAAAACGCATGTTGCAAGACAAATTTTTCACAAGACAATATTAACGAATTAAATTCGTCTTGCGAGGCACCACTGTAATTATAAATAACTGATTAAGTTTGAGTCAGGAATCAGGAGCAGAATGTGTGAGAGCACAGGTCTAGTACATTGAGTTGCACCATACTATTTCTTGTATCCAGGTAGTTCTTACTTTTTGGACTCTGAATTTGGTACTAATTCAGCAAAAAAAAAAAGTAAAATACATGACTCTTATTACTTGAAAGTCAGATCTCTCCATATAGAAGTGTATATTCTCAAAGAACATATCTTGTGTTTGAGGATGGAGCAAGCGTGGCTGCTAATGAAAAGGAGACTACTCAGAATTAGGTAGCTTTATGGCACATGAATGGAATTGTGTCTGTGGAAGAAACGTCTGCTAAATTTTAGGCAGGGTTTCATGCCATACCTTTCATTGTTTGGGAGTGGCATCAGCTCTCTGGGGGGGGAAGTAAACGTTTCCTTTTAAACTCCTTTCATTTCTTCAGTCTTCACAACATTATTTTTAAAAAATTAAAGCATTTAAACTTCTTGGTCAAAACTTAGTTGCTAGTCCTGACTAGAATACATTAATTAAATGAATTAGTAAACAGTGAGTCAACACTTAGACAAATTCCATTGATTCAGTGGTTTTACTCAGGAGTACATACAATATTGTGGTCATGTATTTAAAAATTCATTTTGTATAGCACAAGTTATTTTTGTTAAGATAATAATGGCCAGAATCTTGCTGGTCATTTACATGTGTAAGTGAAAGTGTGTAACGTGCAGTCATTGCCATTAATTAACTAGTTGCAGCTCACATTCCTAGCTGTGGGACTGGCATGTGGCCAGCAATGAGAGCAGCTACTTGTGGTGGCAAATTGTGATTAATTAATTCACTGCAATTACCTTTGCTTCAACATAATTTATATACTGTACTATTATAACTAACTAGACAGCTTTGGGATTCAGGGTAGGTTTTGTAATAGCAAAGAATTTGAAAGATGCTGGCTAATTTAATTTTGGCACAGATTATTCTGAACAAAAGTATAGGACAAAACAAATGGCAAGTAAAGATAGTGGCATAATACAATCTACAGCAGTTGGCAAAAAATGAGGATCTGTACTTTTCAAATTAGCCACACTTATAAGGTAAAGGTAAAGGTTCCCCCTGACAATTTTTGTCCAGTCGTGTTCGACTCTAGGGGGCGGTGCTCAGCCCCGTTTCCAAGCCATAGAGCCAGAATTTTGTCCGAAGATAATCTTCCGTGGTCACATGGCCAAGTGCGACTTAGACACAGAACGCTGTTACCTTCTCACCGAGGTGGTCCCTATTTATCTACTTGCATTTGCATGCTTTCGAACCGCTAGGTTGGCGGGAGCTGGGACAAGCAACGGGAGCTCACTCCGTCGCGTGGATTCGATCTTATGACTGCTTGGTCTTCTGACCCTGCATCACAGGCTTCTGTGGTTTAGCCTTTAGCCACACTTACAATAGTGGAAATGTTTAAGTTTAGCAAAATGTATGTTAAGAATACTTATATTTTTCTTTTCAGTGTGAGATAAAGGTGGCACAGCCAAAAGAAGTATATCAGCAACAACAGTTTGGTTCTGGGGGTGGCAGAGGAAGAGGTGGAAGACGAGGTATGTATTGCATGCACTACTTTCGTACGGACACATTACCTAAAACAAATGTCTATACTAAAATGGGATTTTGTGGATGGTTTTCCTTTCTATAGCTCAAAGTCAAAATTGGAATCAAGGTTATGAGAATTACTGGAACCAGGGTTATGGGAGTCAAGGATACGGCTATCAGCAAGGTTATGATGGCTATGGAGGCTATGATTATTCAGGATATGGGTATTTTGGATATGGACCGGGCTATGATTACAGTAAGTAAAGAGAAATGTATTGGGTATATGCAGGCACAACTAAATAGCAGTTTAATGCATTTGATCTCTTGTTTATAGGTCAGGGTGGCTCAAATTATGGGAAGGCTCCAAGACGTGGTCATCAGAATAACTACAAACCATATTGATCAGAGGTGTGCAGGTATGCAGTGGCATGCTCCGATGCAGAAAACTACTGCATAAGTTTTGTACTCAATGCTGTAGATGGACATTACAATTATGTACCAAAATTAACTTTACAATACATTTCTATGGCCTGTTATGTGTATCTGAAGAGCTCCCTGGAAATGTCTTTGTTTAATATTTACAGATAATAGTTGTCTAGACAGTGTGGTGTGTAAATTTCAGCCTTGCTGAAGATTAATGATTTTATTGATAGGTTAAATTGAAACTGATTTTGTGAGCCTGCTTAAAGATGCAGCTCTGCATTTAGGGATTGCCTCTTGGAGTGAACTATGAACTACGTTATTCCAGTTGTACAGAACAAGATACATCTTAGGGAACCAGTGTCACTTTCCACCTTTTTATTTTGTATTGGTTTTGTGTCATACATTTCCTGTAATGGAAGTGTTAATTTTACTGTACTTTTTGGTACCTTTTTGGAATCTAATGTATTGTAAGGTATTTTACATGTGTTCTGATTCACCATGACATGGATATTGATGCTATTCTAGCTTTTGAATAAAAAAGCATAATCCAGTATCCTGTGCCATTATTCCAGCTATGTGTTAAAAGTTAGGGGAAAGAATCATTAAAATTCAATAGAAATTAGGTGGCTGGAGTGAAATATTAAGAGATTGGATTTGGAGCATGTGCTAACCTTTACATTGGTGACTAACCTATTACTTAGCCAAGTGATTGGTTAAACCATTAAGGGTTCAAAGTACAGTATGTGGTCACTGAAAGCTGCAAAAGATTAGTATGCAAAATAAGTATTTAGGCTTTCACACAAATGTTTTAACTGATTGGTTTCGTGAACAAATTAAGAAACTAGGGAAAAACTATTCTCGAAAGGAGAAACTACTTGTAAATTTGGACACAATTTAGTTTAGGGCTCAAGGCTGTATTTACACACACAAGGAAGTGTTGGACATATTCACCACATTAAAGTCAGCTCTTTCTTGTATACAGAAGCTCCGTTTTAATTGCTACTCAGACTCTAGAAACATCCTCGGTGCTATGTATGCAAAACTCTCACATCCACTATGTCTGAAGCTGTCCTTTTAAGATAATTTCACTAGCTGTATATAATAATAGTTTCAACCCAATGGGCTTTTTTTTTTGCGCGTTTTATTATTTGTTTAGAATTTAATGCTAAAACTAGTAAGGCAATATTACAACTTACTACAAATTTTGGGGGAGGGGTTAGTAGTACTTTTGTTCCTATTTTTTTTTCAGACTGTTTTATATCTGTCTTTAGGTTAAACATTTTGAGCTGTTCTATCAAGTTGTGCTGTTAATTAGTTTGTAAGAACAAGTAATTCTGATTCTGAAGAGGGAAAACTTGTTATTGTTTATTGTATATAGAGTGGCTTTGTTGGTACTTAAAATCTGCAGTATTGAATACAACACAGGATTCTGATGTGGTAATGCAGTCTTATACTGTAGTTAAGGGACTAGGGACAAGCTCGCAGAGAGGCAGCATAATATCCTTGTCTCTTATTTCATGGGGCACAGAAGTAAAAGTGTGCAGCTTTGTAGCATGTTATGAGCTATATACTGATTTTATTTTCTATGTGTAGTAGTAAGTCAGGTCTCAAACCCAAGTTAAAACTATTTAACCTCATGCCTAATGAATGCAATTTGGCTCCACTCAGTTTTTCACCATTTTTATAGACTCTGGTTTGCTTGTCAAAGCATGTCAGTCATTGTAATAATAGGGCTTGAATATTAAGACAGCAATTTAGCTTTTGTATTTATAACAACAGTATAGCCCACATGCATGCAAAGGAAAGAGCAGTTGCTACAAGATGTGGATAGTTCATAGGGCTGGGTTTTTGGGGGGTGGGGGAGATGAGTGGTTTTGGCATGTTAAGTGATATCAGCAAGCCACCTTACTGCTATGCGTTTATGCTGTGGCATACCTTTACTTCTACAGTTCAAGTCAATGATATCAGATTAACAGAAGTTAATTCTTTTTCTTTGCAGAAAACACATTCTAGCTTTGTAAGACCATTTGAAAATAGCATTTTATGCAAAACAATAGCAAAATAAGTGCTGAAGATATTCCCCACCTCATGTCGTTTATACTAATGTGCTTGGAAAATATAGGGTTGTAATTGGAAATCTACATGTAAAGTACCAAGGAAGAACAGTGCTTGGTTAGTACCAGGGAATGCTGTACATAGTTGTCACCATGGATACAGAGACACAGCAGTACTACCTGCTTTCTAGTTAACGTACCAAATAAGTTTAATTGTATAGATATGAACAAGAGAAGATTATCTGGGGGTATGTGGCTTTTAAGCTTAGCTTGCTTCTACAGAGTTAGTGGTTCTAGAGTAGCTGTTACTTTATTATATATTCAGTGAAAATAAGTCTGTCAATTGCTTAAATTTAGGCACTAGTTTCTTCCTTTTGACCCAAAATCTATAGTAGCAGAAATGAGGCCAACTATATGTAGCATAGTTTTAAGATCATGATACCAAGAAACTTGGCATGGATTGTAAGGAAATAATGGAGACATGCATTTGGGGGTGATTTTCTTTTGTAAAATGGATTAGTGAATTGTGTCACTTAATTCAAATCTACCAGCAGTTCTGTCTCTAGACACTGCAGCTGAAATCCAGTGGTAAGTTGCAACTAGAGTAGGTCCACTGACTCAGTAGAACTTAGAGGTGTTGACTCGCCAAATCTCCACTGATTGAATGGGCCTGCTCTAGTTGCAATTTATTACTGGGTTTCAGCCTATGTCCTCAGAATCTTACAGGTGAGATTGCAGTGAGGCCTGGGAGAGTGGTTTCTTCACAGGGCTTCTACTGAATGCCACACGTTGCTTCCATATGCAGGGCAAAAACTCTTGAAACAATTCAAAAACAAGGAAAGAGAATTCTGTACCAATATCTGATGCTTGATGTGGGGGACAACTATAAGAGGGAAATCTAAATGAACATTGGTAGAGGGAGCAGTGGAAAAGGAGAAATAAGAGAAAAAGAGTAAGGTGAGTGAGAAGAAACACTGGAGGCAAAAGTGTGCCTGATACAGGCAGCTGATAGTTCTTTTAGCGAAAAATTAAGAGATGAATTTGATCTAATGTGAGGTACTTTTCTGTAAAACTTGTTAAAAGATTCCCTGAGCTACTGTATAGTAAAGATGCTTATATGTTTAGATACAGGCCTTGTGAATAAATGCTTAGCTTGTTAAATGATTTTTAGGAAGCAAGAAAACATGTCTGCAATGGTGCTAATTTTTTCCTATAGGCAGATTGGTAGAAATTATGCTTTGAGTTCAGTAATTAGTACAAATAAGACGGTGTACACACGCTGGATAAATTTATAGTTTTTACCACGCTATATGAAACTCTGGACTAGCAGGGAACAATTGGACAGCAGAATTGTGAATGTCTGTACTGTCACTATTACGGTAGACTGAGAAATTAGTCTGGAGTAGGTAGAATTACAATTGTAGCTTAAAATCTATTAGAAACATGGTAAAATTTATTGCCATGTTTGTAGCCTATAAAAATTCAGTGACATAATTAAACCACCATATTTTAAAGCAAGTGAATTAGAGATTTATTAATTTTTTCTGATATACTGTTGTAAATAATGTGTTGATGACACATAATTGGATTCATTACAGCAATTCAGGGTAACAAATTAAATAGTCTCCTTCAATGAACATTTGACTCTATCCAATCATTTTACCTGAGTAGTTGCCCTTTGAAATATTGAACTTCTCTAGGCTTTTGCTTCCTCCAACTCTGCAAAAAATTCAACAGTATTAGAATACAAACTCTTAGCTGCTCACACAAGGGGGTTTAATAATCTGCACCGGAAATTGTCCATTTCTGAAGGCACAAAACTGGATGATTTGCCCTTTCATGCAATTACAGGCCCCATTACGTCCCAGATAGGAGCACATCCTGTTTACTGTACTAAAAATTAGTAAGTTTGAAATTCAAAACTATATTTAAAACTATGTGTGTTCTTAATCTGGGCCCTTATTGCTTTGCATCTCAGAATATTCCATGTTTGCTTCTTGCTTGTCCTGTTTAGTCTTATATTGCTACTGCTAGTTACCAGTCTCAACTGGTATTAAATCAAATTAACTGTTAATAATATTCCTCTTTCACAACAGTTCTTCAACCACAACTTTTATATGGGGTGGGATAAGGAGAAAAAAGTGTGTGAGAGCAGTTATGCTGCAAAATCACATCCTGTATATATTCCCAGGAAAGTGTTTCTAGCCAGATGTCTTCCTAAAATTTGTGTCATACCTAAGGGATCAGGCTGACAGTGTTTTCATAACACTCAGCTTTGTCCCTTTGTCATTGGGAACAGGGCTCTTGTGTCACAGGAATATTTTATCTGAAGTAGCCTTTGGGATGGTGGCCTGTTTTGGAACATTAGCTGTATTTCTGAGCACAAACTCAGTTGTTCAGTTATATGGTCTTAAAGAGCACCCCATATCAAGCCAGCCAATCAGTTTATCTTTAGACTTATTCAGAGGTACACATCAGATCATCCTAAGCAGGTTTCCCTACTTTTCTTACCTGTTAGTATCTTGTCAAGTTTCTCCACAACTAGCTTTGCATCTTCTACACTGAAACACAGCGGAGGCTTGAACTTCAGTACATTTCTGCCTGGACCATCTGTACTTAGAATAATGAATTCCTCTTTTAATCTGGATTTTTAAAAACATAAATGTAGCAAGAATAAACATGATAACCTGGCTAGTTGAAGTAATAGGTTAGTGGATCTAAAATATCTAATCCATTATTTTCAATATACAGAATAGCATATAAAGCCTCTCTTCAGCTTCTTAATATACTCATGGGTGTTCTTCCTTGCTCCCAAGACTATGAGTAGCCCAGTGATGGCAGTACAAAGCTGCTGAATTGGTGATTTTAAGCTCAGCAGTGTTTGACAACTTTGGCAAAATAGGGTGGTTTCTCCTACCCTGTTGCCCCGAAAATAAACCCTAAACTGAAAATAAGCCCTAGAATGATTTTTCAGGATGCTCATAATATAAGCCCTACCCCCAAAATAAACCCTAAATGAAACCCCGCCCCCCACCATATGTCAGAAGATAATATGACTGTATTTGAATAAATGTAGATTGTTGTACATGGAAAAAAATAAAACAGCCCCTGAAAATAAGCCCTACTGCGTTTTTTTTGGAGCAAAAATTAATATAAGACCCTGTCTTATTTTCGGGAAAACAGTAGCAATAAGTTTTAAGGGATATCTCGTTATGCTTGACTTGCTTAGCCTGACAACAGTGGTTCTCTGCATGATTACAAGCCCATCTGCTCCACAATGATCCTAAGATCATGGCACAGGAGTTATATGGTCTTTCTAAGAATTGCCTGTTAGAGAGAATGAGGAAAGGAAGGGATGCAAGAGCTTGCTGTTGCGTTTGTTTGAAAGTGACATCAGTCAATGGAGGCAAAATCTCTCCGCCACTGCTGAATTTTAAAATATTGAGTAATTGAGAGCTTATTTTTGGTGAGTAGAGGGAATGTCTGTTCTCTCCTATCAGGTTCTCTCTATGGTTCCATTGAGACATTTCCAGAGATACTATCCACAGTTACTTATGGGAGATCAAAGGAAGGAGCAGAGGGTAGAATGGAAAATCTTGAGAATGGGGCAAGAAACCTAACATACCGTGCTATGATAAACTCTGCTTCTGTGGTAGCAGGTGATCTGTTTTCATGGTCTTTTACCAAATCAACGCCAATGAATAATCCAACACCCCTTTTGAAAAGAGAAATCAAGAACAGAAGTCAATAAATTTAATAGAACAGATTCCACAAAGTGACTTTTCCATTTTTCTCTATCCTACTAAGGTGGTGGTGGGGATATAGCAAGATGGTGATAAGAATGGAAATTATATTTTCAGATAAAAGATATGCTAGTTACATCACATAAAAGTCTTAACAAGTGCATACCTGACATCACCAATTAGAGAATGTTTTGCTTTTTGCTGATTGAGGAGTTCTATGAGGAGGCTGCCCACTTGGAGAGCATGAGCTTGAAGCTGTTCGTTCTTAATGACATCCAAAACTGTTATTCCTATTGCACAGGACACAGGATTTCCTCCAAACTGAAGCCAGTGGGGAACAATTGTAAAAAGCAGAGATAATCTTTATGTAGGTAATTGTTTTTCTTACAAGTAGGTGCCATTTGTTCCTCTGAATTTAATGCAATTGTAAAAGTAATCTAGCAAACATGTATTACGTAAAGTACATGAAAAAGAAATAACAATTTGCTGTTACAGACTAAGAAATTTGATGAATACACTTACTGTGTTGAAATATTCTACTCCTGTGGCTGAAAATGCCTCTGCAATTTCCTTTGTTGTTGCTACACAAGCAATGGGATGGCCATTGCCCATTGGTTTTCCCATAGTAACAATATCTGGAATAAAATCCTTTCCTTGCAGTTGAAATGCCCAAAAATGTTTGCCAACCCTGCCGAAGCCAACTTGAATTTCATCAGCAACAAATACACCACCCGCCTTGCGTATGTGCCTGTTAAGAAAGTCAAAATCATAGCTGTATTTATGTAGAAATGCAGACAGGTCTATCAATAAATTCGTAAATCTGAACATACGTTTAATGGTTGATTTTTTGAGAATGTCTTATGCGGAACTATTTTGATTGCATGATTGTAAATGTTACTGTATTCCAAACAGAAAGGCCAAAACAATATAAAACCAGACTAACACTCAAAATAATTCAATTCTGCTCATGATCAGGGAGTAGCAACAGGCATACTTTCACCAAAGAAGTGAGTTCCCGTGAAGTAGGACATGCGTAACTCCTGCACTGAAATCAAAGGGATTTTAAAATAGCTTAATTGGGGGGGGGGGGGCAGGGTGAGATCTTGCAGAAAATGTAGAGCTAGCCTGAAGGTCTTTCTGAAATAAAAAGCATAGAAAAGCCAACAAAAGCCGTGGAGATGAAATGTGAGAATATGTAAGGAAGGTTAAATAGACAAACTTACGCTGCAGCCTTTTGGAAATAACCTTCTGGTGGAATGATCTGTCCAGCAACACTTGGTAAAGATTCCATAAAAAACGCAGCAAACTGAAAAGATAGTGAACAGTAGTGAACCTTGCAGTGACATTTTTAAGCGTTAAAAAAATTTCACTTGGCACAGCTGGCTGGATAGCTCAGTGGTTGTGAACAAGAGGTTGGGAGTTAGATTCCCCACTGTGTTTCCTGGGAGAAGAAATGGCCTGTGTGGCCTTGGCTAAGGTGCACTGTCCCAAGATGCCCCAGAAGAAGGGAATGGCAAACCACGTCTGAGTGTACAGTATCTAGACAACCCTAAGTCACCATAAATCAGATTAAAAGCATTCAGTTAAGGTAAATAAATACAATTTTGAACAAAACTAAAGGCTATTAGCAGGTTATAACAAATGGGAGTAAACAGAAAACAGCCACAGGCAAGCAAGGAGGCAGTTGGGAGCCATGCTACTGATGTTCCATGGTGGATACTGCCACCATTTGGAGGGGGGTGGCTTTGAAAGACAGTAGGGGTGGGGGAAGTCTGCATGATGCTTGTGATGCCTCATGTCAAGTGTGTTTATACAAATAAGTCTGAGGAGAGCAGGTGAATGCAATGTTGGTGAGAACAGTTTTGATTGGCTGAGTAGGAGAGAGGGTCTGAGAACAATGAGCTGGAAAGAGCAGGGAGAGGGATAAGAATTTGATTAGGTTTAGGAATAAAACTACATTTAACTGAACCTGTTTTTGCAATAAATGTAATTCAATTTAGTTCTTGCCAAGTGCTGCAGTGTGTTGATAACTTAGGGTTATACATGGAGAGAATGGGAAATGCCAGCGCAAGAATGGCAATAACCAACACATAAAAGCAGCCGAGAGTCAGTGGCAGCAACTGGTGAAGATTGTAAAAGAAAAGCATGTTAAAATAATCCTGTGAGTTGTAGCACAGAGATGACTATCAGTGACAGTTTCTGCTTTGGTGTACTTACTACCCCAGACTAGTGCTACGAAGCCTTCAAATCAGATGACTGTCCAAATATAACCTATATTTGTTGTATAACTTTGACACAAACAAAGTTATATTCTTAAGTTTACCTTTCTGTTTTTTTTAAGTCCTTGGTCAATTATTTTTTCCACTTCCTTGGCATATGCCATGGCTGGAGCCTCGTGGTGTTCTCTATATAATCCTCTGTATGTGTCAGGTAGAGGTGCCTGTCCAAAAGAAACCACAACTGCTATCTAGGCTGTCAGGGTTTGGGTGAATTAGAAATTAACTGAAAAAGGTTAACACAGTCTTTTATGCATACCACGTGGACCCATTCCTTTTGGCCTCCCAGATTTCTGAATTTATATGGACTTATGTCAATCAAAGATGTCAGATGTCCATGATAAGCACTTGAAATAAAAAACAGTGATCAAAGAACTGTAAGGTCAAGACTACCTCGTAATTCATTAAACCTAGCCGGTATGTTGCAGCATACAGATTATTCATGAAGCAGTGGCTCTGTTATGGGCACTGTTAACCCCCAATTCTTTGGGAAAGCAAATCATTGCCATAAATTTACCTTGTCTCATCAGAGCCAGTGTCATATCAGTGTAAAACAGTATAGTCAAGAGGCAGTGCTCCAGAGCCAGATCCACTTGCACAGTGTCACAATTTTCTGCAAAGTTATATATACTGTAGTATGATGGTCAAAACAAGAACAGCATATAATTTAACAATGCAGAAAATGATCTTAAGGAATTGAGTGCACCTGTAGTTCTGAAACAAAGCAGGTCTAGGCTTTGCAGCTAGTACTATGATGAGCAGCCTGGAAACATTCGGCACCCTGGTCTTAGCTTGTTGGAAGACGGGCAGGATTCATGGTGTGATGAGCTAACACTAGTCACATAAGTCCACTTCTAGTACAAAATGTACAGGTCCTATTTGGCATTTTAATTTTCTCTTTATAAATCTGTAAAATAATAATTCATGGTTTTACTACAGGACAGTGGGCAACCTGTCACTCCTCTAAATGTTTATATTTTCTGGGGGGGGGGAAGAAATATTGCTAAAGTCCCCTTGTGCTCTGTAAAGACTATAAGGACCATTTTGGCATGTTTTGAGGCATACGCGGGCCCCTCAGCCATTTAAAAAACCTGCCCATTGTCATGGGTCTTTTTAAGTAAAATAAATCCATGTTTGTAAGAAATGAAAATTGGTCATGGGGGTGGCACTCCAAGATCCAGTAACAGGCACATGCAGCCCCTCAACCTTTGGAGATCATCTACCCCAGGTTTAATTCATTAACATAATGTTACTTAAAATGTTTTGATACTTACTGTTCAAGAACAACGATGTCTTCATGTTTCGTATACTGCCGTGCTAATCTCAGAGCAAGATCATTGGCTTCTGATCTAAAATTGAAAGTTCTGCAGGTTTCTCACTGTGCACATTCAGGCAAGTACAGTAGTGATCATTTTGGTTTTATAGTTTTTCTATCTACAAACAGTACAGTGGACCCTCTACTTATGGAATTAATCCGTATTGGAATGGTGGCTTCAGGTCGAAAACTTTGTAGGTTGTATCTCCATTGACCTACAATGCATTGAAAACCGATTAATCTCGTAACCGGCCGTTTTTGTCCCATTTTTGTTCCATTTTGGTTTTTTCCTGGTCTGTAGGTCGAGTCTCCGGCTGCAGTTGAACCTAAATTTTGCGGCCAGAGAAGTCTGTAACTTGAAAAGTCTGTAAGTTGAGGGTTCACTGTAGAACTGAGCCATCAAGCTTCAGATGGACAAATTGCACAATAAAACAAAGAGAAATGCACAATGAGCATTACAATTTTGAACTAACTTTCTCTGCAGGTGAGAAAAAATGAGTACATTTTTTCTGATTGGAGGAAGAGATATGTAAGTGCAAATAAATGACAGGGGTTTGGTCTAATGAAAGCAAAGACACAGTACAGCTTCCCCAATAAACTGGTGTTGGGAGTGTGAACAAGCTGAAGTCTGCCTATTCTTCAAAGGAGATGCATAAAATCGGGAGGAGATGCATAAAATTACCATATTACTTCCAATGTTACAGTTTGGTTAATTAAAGCAAGTTTCTTAATAACTTGATCTTACATGTATTTATTTAGAGGTGAATCCTTTTTTATTTGCTGCTTACTCCAAAGTAAGGGAGCACAGGGTTGCAGCTTTAACAGTAAACACCACTTGAGACAATGGCATGAGGTTGCCTGGTGATTGATACTTCACAAACGTACCCGGAGTTCAAGAAGTAGAACATACACAGTTTCTCAGGTAATGTCTCAGCGAGTCTTTGTGCATAATCCACCAAATTGTCATGCAGATACCGAGTATTTGTATTTAGCAACAGATTTTGTTGATGTGCTGCTCTGACCACCTCAGGGTGGCAGTGTCCCACTGAAAAAGGAAGAAAAGGAGAGGACAAGAGAAAGTCCATTTCTACATCCCTTCATATATTTGGAGAAAACAGTTGCTTAACAGCAACTGAATCATCTTTGGCAGCGCGCTTGCTGGGAGGACTGAGACCTGTTACTGGGTATGATGGGGGTGGTGGGTAAGTCTGGGTGTGGAATGTGTTTTATTTTTTTATTTTTCTTCTATGTTTTAATTGTTTAAATTGTTTAAATTGTTATTGTTTAATTTAATATTACATGTCTCTTTATGTTATGGTTTAATGTTGTTAATTTTATTATTGTGTTTTTATTAATTTGTAATATTTCTAGTGTTTTCATTTCCCCCCTTCTTTTTGGTTGACATGGAGTGGAGGGCCTGCCCCCCCAGCGGGGTCCTCTGAACATCAGAGTGATTATGGGTAGAGGGAGGTGTGGCAATGGCAGTTTCTCTTCATTGCAGAAGAACGGTGAACAGATGTTTGAAAGCTGTTCACTGTTCTGGCACTGTGACCAACCGTCACTCAAGGTAGTCATACCAGCTGTCCCTCCACTCTAAATGTGTTGTTCAACGCCAGGTCTGTATCCAAAAAAATCTCAGATTATCCAAGACCTTATTTTGGAGGGAGGATGCAGACCTGGCATGCATAACCAAGACTTGGATGGGCTGGGAAGGGGGTGTTCCCTTGACCCTTGCCTGCCCTCCAGGTTATACAGTCCAACACCAGGGTAGACTGGAGGGGTGGGGAGTAGCCATTGTCTATAAAAACACTCTGGAGGTTGTTAAGTGCTCCATGGTGGTTGCACCAGGTCTTGAGGCCCTACACGTGTCAGTTGGGGCCAGGTATGGTATTGGGATCTTGCTGGGTTACTGCGCTCACCGTGATGCAGCCATTTCCTTACCATTGCTGGCGGACTTCGTCTCCACAGCACGGTTGGAATCTGCAGCTTTTGGTCTTGGGTGAATTTTCTGCGGAGGCAGAGGTTTCTGGTCTGGGTCTTGAGTTCATGGAAACCATGGATTCCTTGGACATGTCCCAACATGTCAACAGCCCTGCCCACATGGGCGGTCACACAGACCTGGTGTTTCCCCGAGTGATGTGAGTGTGGTCTGATGGTGACTGACCTTGTGTTAGTCCCCTTGTCATGGTTGGATCACCGCCTAATTAAATGCAACCTCTCAGTGGCTATCCCTCTCTGCAGGGAGCAAGGACCTATTTTAATGGTCCACCCTCGAAGGTTACTGGATTCTATAGGATTCAAGGACTCCATGAAAGGTATTCCGGCTGATCTGACTGGTACTCTTGTTGAGGCTCTGGTTGATGGCTGGCTTTTGGATGAAACCAACGCCCTGGATCCATTTCAGTCGGGCTTCAGGCCGCGCCATGGCATGGAAACAGCATTGATTGCCCTGTTTGATGACCTGCTGAGGGAGGCCAACAGGGACAAAATGTCTCTGTTCATCTTTCTCAATATCTCAGCTGCCTTCACTACTGTTGACCACAGTATTCTCCTGGGGAGGCTCTCCAAGCTGGGAATCGGTGGTCTGGAGTTAGCCTGGCTCCGATTCTTCTTGGAGGACCGTCCCCAAAGAGTACAGCTTGGGGAGAGTATATTGGCTCCGTGGAATCTTAATTGTGGGGTTCCGCAGGGTTCGATTATCTCCCCAATGCTGTTTAATATCTACATGAGGCCGCTGGGTCAGGTCATCAGGAGGTGTGGGGATTTTTGTCATCAGTACACTGATGACATCCAGCTCTACATCTCCTTTCCCCCAACAACAGTGGATGCTGTTTCGTCCCTTCAGTGCTGTATGGAGGCCGTATTGAAATGGATGCCGGTGAATAGTCTGAGGCTGAACCCTGACAAGACAGAGGTCCTGAGGTTGGGTGGCCCTGATGTCAGTGGTTTGGGGAACTCCCTCTTTTGGGGGGGTGACTCTCACCACAAAGAATTTGGTTCACAGTTTGCGGGTCCTTCTTCGTGGCCTCTGTGAATACACACATATGGGTTTAGTCTGCGCCTGCGCTGACATTCTCGGAGCATTCTAGAGCTAAAAGTAACAATTTTATGGGATGATCCCCCATGAGGCACAAGCGCCTCCCACCCAAGATTCCCCTCAGTTCCTTTTTTCCGCCATGCTGTAAAGTTCTACAGAGCATAGAGCTATTTCCACAGGGTTTTTTCCCCTTAGCTTATTGATCAATTCCCTCTAAATTGGATTCTGGAGGCCGTATTGAAATGGATGCCAGTGAATAGTCTGAGGCTGAACCCTGACAAGACAGAGGTCCTGAGGGGGGGTGGCCCTGATGTCAGTGGTTTGGGGAACTCCCTCTTTTGGGGGGGTGACTCTCACCACAAAGAATTTGGTTCACAGTTTGCGGGTCCTTCTTCGTGGCCTCTGTGAATACACACATATGGGTTTAGTCTGCGCCTGCGCTGACATTCTCGGAGCATTCTAGAGCTAAAAGTAACAATTTTATGGGATGATCCCCCATGAGGCACAAGCGCCTCCCACCCAAGATTCCCCTCAGTTCCTTTTTTCCGCCATGCTGTAAAGTTCTACAGAGCATAGAGCTATTTCCACAGGGTTTTTTCCCCTTAGCTTATTGATCAATTCCCTCTAAATTGGATTCTGGAGGCCGTATTGAAATGGATGCCAGTGAATAGTCTGAGGCTGAACCCTGACAAGACAGAGGTCCTGAGGGTGGGTGGCCCTGATGTCAGTGGTTTGGGGAACTCCCTCTTTTGGGGGGGTGACTCTCACCACAAAGAATTTGGTTCACAGTTTGCGGGTCCTTCTTCGTGGCCTCTGTGAATACACACATATGGGTTTAGTCTGCGCCTGCGCTGACATTCTCGGAGCATTCTAGAGCTAAAAGTAACAATTTTATGGGATGATCCCCCATGAGGCACAAGCGCCTCCCACCCAAGATTCCCCTCAGTTCCTTTTTTCCGCCATGCTGTAAAGTTCTACAGAGCATAGAGCTATTTCCACAGGGTTTTTTCCCCTTAGCTTATTGATCAATTCCCTCTAAATTGGATTCTGGAGGCCGTATTGAAATGGATGCCAGTGAATAGTCTGAGGCTGAACCCTGACAAGACAGAGGTCCTGAGGGTGGGTGGCCCTGATGTCAGTGGTTTGGGGAACTCCCTCTTTTGGGGGGGTGACTCTCACCACAAAGAATTTGGTTCACAGTTTGCGGGTCCTTCTTCGTGGCCTCTGTGAATACACACATATGGGTTTAGTCTGCGCCTGCGCTGACATTCTCGGAGCATTCTAGAGCTAAAAGTAACAATTTTATGGGATGATCCCCCATGAGGCACAAGCGCCTCCCACCCAAGATTCCCCTCAGTTCCTTTTTTCCGCCATGCTGTAAAGTTCTACAGAGCATAGAGCTATTTCCACAGGGTTTTTTCCCCTTAGCTTATTGATCAATTCCCTCTAAATTGGATTCTGGAGGCCGTATTGAAATGGATGCCAGTGAATAGTCTGAGGCTGAACCCTGACAAGACAGAGGTCCTGAGGGTGGGTGGCCCTGATGTCAGTGGTTTGGGGAACTCCCTCTTTTGGGGGGGTGACTCTCACCACAAAGAATTTGGTTCACAGTTTGCGGGTCCTTCTTCGTGGCCTCTGTGAATACACACATATGGGTTTAGTCTGCGCCTGCGCTGACATTCTCGGAGCATTCTAGAGCTAAAAGTAACAATTTTATGGGATGATCCCCCATGAGGCACAAGCGCCTCCCACCCAAGATTCCCCTCAGTTCCTTTTTTCCGCCATGCTGTAAAGTTCTACAGAGCATAGAGCTATTTCCACAGGGTTTTTTCCCCTTAGCTTATTGATCAATTCCCTCTAAATTGGATTCTGGAGGCCGTATTGAAATGGATGCCAGTGAATAGTCTGAGGCTGAACCCTGACAAGACAGAGGTCCTGAGGGTGGGTGGCCCTGATGTCAGTGGTTTGGGGAACTCCCTCTTTTGGGGGGGTGACTCTCACCACAAAGAATTTGGTTCACAGTTTGCGGGTCCTTCTTCGTGGCCTCTGTGAATACACACATATGGTAGCGCACAGCAGTCGAAGTCAGCATCTTCTTTCTTCCACGACCAGGTAGCATTTCAACAGTGCCCTTTGCCTTGAATTTGCGAATGATGCTTCCTATGGTGTCTCTTGGTATGTTTAACTTCTTTGCAATCTTCTTATAGCCATTGCCCTTCCTGTGAAGACAAATCACCTCTTCTCTTGTCTTTCTGGACCATTCTCTTGACTTCACCATGTTTGTAACCACACCAGTAAATGTCTAGAAGGAGCTGAGTATCACAGTCATTTTAAAGCTGCCTAATTGGTGCTTATTATGCTTGATTGGTGCTCGGTGACATCCACAGGTGTTTTCAATACCTGATCGAAAACACCTGAATGAACCTCTCTTCTTCAGAGTGGTAGTCTTTAAGGGGTTGAATAATTGTGGCAATGAAGAAACCACAAAAGAAACATTTACTACTGTATTACATAAACAATTGATGTTATTTTAGTTGCATTTGGTTCTTTAAAACGTCCTTGTAGGATTTGATTCTGAATACAATTCCAAATGTACACTATAGTCCCTAAACCCCTTTACAGCATTGGGGGTTGTATAATTTTGAACACAACTGTAGATGGGCAGGATATTAAATAAATGAATGAATAAATAAATAGTTTAAAGCAAAAAAATATTGTTGAAGACACAACCCTAAAAGTGAGGGGAAATCACACCACAGATCAACTACCCTTTCTCATTCAAAACATGGATACTTTTTGTATAATGTCTCCCCCAAGGAAATACAGGAAGTGAGCTCCACTTCATTTCTCTAAAGAGAGAAAAAAATCCTGCTTATCTTGTAATGTATTAAGCCCATTAAATACAATTTTAATTGCCCAATTTCAAATCAGTCGGATTCAACTAGTGAAAACTATGCAACCGCACATAGGACGGTGCAGCAAATCTGTTGCTTATAGATGTTTACACTATCAGAACCTTGGTTTCATTTTCACTCTTTGATGCCAATGAATACTGCCATAGAGGGAGTAGAGCAGGTGGGGTTACCCTATAGTGGGCAAAACCAGGGTGGATTTGATTTAAATGAAATTAATTTAAATCACTAGTCAGCAAGGATTTTATTTTTAAAAAGGTCCAATTCAATTTGAAATTTTTAAAAAATTGATTTAAATATTCAAAATCCCATTTTTAATATTTAAAAAAATTAAATCAAATTTTTAAAATTACATTGCTTACTGACTAGTGATTTAAATGGGATCAACCCTGGACAAGACCCTGTTCATGCAGCTGTAACATAAATTTAGGCCCACATAAATGTGCTGAGCATAAACTGAAAACTTTTTTCAGAGAATGGCAGTGCTGAGAGGTAAAATTACAGCATCCATGAAGATTACCCATAATTTTAAAAAAAGCTGCTCCAAAGAAAAACCACAGCCTCCATCATTAGTTTATATGAAGATAAGATGGAGTCCTCTCATCAGCTAAAGCTATGCATCAACTAGAGCTAACACGCCATTTTATTATGACAACACACATTGTCCCAACCTTTTGCTTTTACATAGAGCTCAACCTTGAAAAATCAGAAGGGCAAAATCTTCCGGTGGCGTCAGCTTGGGGTATGAGTGGCTCAGTCGATGTGCCCAGTCATCATAAATGTCCACAAAGGCCCAGGAGAAAACAGCCTACTGTTTTGTGGCAGCCTGTCCAGGTTTCTGGATCACACACAGACTACCTAACTGCCATTTCTCTACTCCGTCATAAAACCATGGTTCTGAAAGAGTTGGTTATGTAACGAGGTCTAATGGATATCTGCCATCCTGTTCAGTGAGGGCAAACATATATGTTACATGGGGTAAACCTGAGCAGTTAGTGCAGGATGGATAAAGTGTATTATCAGGAAAGGATTATGTATATACACTTAGGTCACTGCCATTTGGACAGTTCAAGTTGGCACGCATCAAGCAACTTTTGCCAATTTACCAATTTTGGCCTTACAAGCCTTATTAATGACAGTGCATTTTCATACTTGCCATGAGCAACATTATTGATACAATCAAGGTATGCATTTCCATTTTCATCATAGATATATTGGTTCTTTGCCTGGATGATCTTCATGGGGCTTTCCGGGAAAAAAAGCCTGCAGGAAGATCTGGAAAAGAGTCAGAAACAATAATAAACCCCCCAAAATAACCTTTTCGTGTGAAATTTTGTTTTTCAAAAAATTCAAGTGTGGAGAACAAATAAAGTGATTATTTTAAAAAGCGCTTGCCAATAACTTCCTTTATTATCGCTGCATAGGAGTATGGCAGAGCAAATCATTCTTACAAGGTAATTCTAAAAATGGGGACACCCCAAGCAAAAACTTGAAACTGAACTGCCAATCAGCACCAAATATAGCAAAGACGTAGCAGACAGTGTGTTCTTCCTCTGTGCCAGATTGGAGGACGTTTGGACAAAGTGTTGTTGAGTTACGATTTTTTTAATACCACACTGTTTTACTCCCATGAAACAAGTGATCTTAAACATCCCCAGAGTTAAATCAGATCAAAGTGACACCAAGCAAGGGAAAATCTCAGAAGCTGACTCCTTTATTCATCAGCCACTTCTCACCCAAATACAAAGCAATGTCCATAACTGTTTTTTGACAAATGTGAATAGTAATCAGCACAAGAGGGTATCCTGTAGACCAGCGGTCCCCAACCTTTTTGGGACCGCAGACTGGTTGGGGGGGGTGGGCTCCATGGGCAGGGGGGTGTCGTGCTCATGCCCCTGAGTGCAAGCGTGATGCGCCCCTGCGTGAGTGCAACACGCCCCCTGTGCGAGCATGACATGCCCTCATGTGAGCACGACATGCCCACAGTGCGGGGGGGGGTGTGTGTGTGGAGATCTGTCTCCCACTTCCGGCAAGCCCACGGACCTGCACCGAGCTGCGGACCCGGGACCCCTGCTGTAGACCATCTTGACTGCTAGCATCAATATCATCAACATTCAAGATGCCTTTTGCTATGTAAACCTTGGCATCCTTTTTCCAGATAGCATGATATTGTGCAGCAATACTGGGCCATTTCCTGGTATTTTGAATTGTGGATACAGAAGCGCAATATCTTACATTCATAAACCAAAGACTGTGGGTTTATTTGAAAAATTAATCTACTTTGTTTTTCTTTACATGAATCCTGTAAGAATTGTCTTATGAAATGTTACGCCTAGTTGTAAGACATAGGCATATAGGTTTCAAGTATCTTTTTCTAAAAATACATGACACAAGGTATATCATTTTTCTTCGTGGCCTCTGTGAATACACACTTATGGGTTTAGTCTGCGCCGGCGCTGACATTCTCGGCGCATTCCAGAGCTAAAAGTAACAATTTTATTGGATGATCCTCCATGAGGCACAAGCTCCTTCCACCCAAGATTCCCCTCAGTTCCTTTTTTCCGCCGTGCTGTAAAGTTCTACAGAGCATAGAGCTATTTCCACAGGGTTTTTCCCTTAGCTTATCTAAATTCGATTCTTTTCCTTCTCAATTATCTAATCTATGATCCCCCATGAGTTGTTTTCTTTTTTGCTTGCCAGCTATTTGGCTTACCCCCCCTGCCCCCCCCACACACACTTCAACTGTTTACTTCTTTCTCCTTTCCTGCCTTTTCCGGCCTCATTTTGACTCTCGGGCACATTAATGATTTTCTGCCTGAGTAAGCTACATCTTACCCAGATAGGTGCAA